CCTGGAGAAGGAAATGGCAACCCACTCCAGTATTCTTCCCTGGGGAATCCCATGGATAGAGGAGCCTGGTGGGCTGTGGTATACAGGTTCGCAAAGAGTTGGACACAACTGAAGCAACCTAGCACACACATGCACAGTGAATTACATATACACAATTTATGTGTGTGTCTGTATTGGATTCCTGTGTAGAATACACTTCTCATAGGAGTGAGTGTCTCCATGCCCCTACCATTGTCAGAGACAAGCCATGAGCACCCCCAGGGTCCAGTGTGGCTAGTGGGTCCCCTGGTTCTCCCTGCATTGGCACCTCTGGCAGCACCTGTACACACAGCACGACATTGTGAATTAATGGAGGGATGAAAATATCAATAATGTGGACATACTTTCCCTCCTGAGGCTCTGGGCAGCCAGGAACGTGCAGCTCAAGCCCAGCTTGGCAAATGAACAGAAAATAACACCCTTCTCTGTGGTGGTTATTCCTTTGAGACTTAATGCCCACTCTCTGTCTGTGTGTTCCCACAGCCTGAGACCTAGCTGAAGTCGAGCTCCATTCTAAGATGAACTGAGAAATTCTTTTTTGAAAAGACTGTGAAGAACTCCCACGTAGGGTAGTTAAGGAAAACCACCACCTCTCCGTGAGTCAGGCTGAGGCATCAGAGTGGAAGGACTGGGCTCTAGCCAGCTCTTCAGCAAGGTTCCCACACCTGCCTCATCTTTGTTCTCAGGAAATGCATGCATGCTAAGTTGCTTCAGTTGTGTCCAAGTCTTTGCGACCCCATGGACTGTAGCCCACCAGGCTCCTCTGTCCATGGGTTTCTCCAGGCAAGAATACTGGAGTGGCTTGCCATTTCCTTCTCCAGTAGATCTTTTGGACCCAGGAATCGAACCCAGGTCTCCTACATTGCAGGCAGGTTCTTTACCACTAGCACCACCTGGGAAGCCCCATAATTCACAATATATACTAATATATACACACAGACATATTATATACCTACATATATATAAGAAAGATATATATATATAAATGGTACTTTTACAGTACACTCTGGTATTTTTTTATTGCTTTCTTTTGTTTAAAAAAGCAATGCTGGTCATGTCCCTCTAGCCTGGTTTTATAGCCGATGCATTGCAAACTGCAGTTTGAAAAACAGTTTTAGATAATCCTCCAAAGCCCAGAAGCCAAGGGCACTGGTCTGCCATCTCTCCCAGGGCCTGGCTGGGGAGCTCTTGACACTGCATCTTTTATAGGCAGAAAAGAACATTATCCTGGAAGAGAAGATCCAAGTTCTCCAGCAGCAGAATGAAGACCTCAAGGCCAGGATCGACCAGAACACCGTGGTCACGAGGTAGGTGGGCCTGGGCGATGGAGCCTCCGAAGCGCGCATCCCTGACAGAATGTCTTTGCTCCTGACCTTGGAGGGCTCTGCTTTTGTCCTCGCTCCTCGGAGCCCCAGGGCTTCCCCACGCAGGCTCTCAGGGCTCCCCACGTGGAGGAAAGCATAGAACACACAGCTCTGAGCGCCCAGCCATGCCCTGGCTCCGCAGAGCACCCTCCTTGATGGAAAGGAGTGGGGTGGGCTAAAGTGTGTGGCACAGCTGGCGGGGGCAGGCGTGGTGGGGATCGTGGAAGAGGTTTTGGAAGGGCTGCCTGCTGGGAGTTCCAGGCTAAAGAGAACAGCCATGTGAGCCAGCCAACCCTGGGCTCCAGCAGTGGGGCCCTCGACTGCTGCCCCGGCCCTAGGCCAACGGCAGAGGGGAGCTGCCCCGGCCAGAGGGCAGCAGGGAGGGGCCGGGCCAAGCAGCCACTTCTATCTCGGTGCTCCTAACCTGCTCCGAGGCTCCGACTTCCAGGAAGGGCGGGGCGGCAACTCGGCTGCAGTGATGACAAAGGCATAAAACACATTGGGTTCCTTTCTACTTGGCGTCCATCAGCCACAAACATCCGCAGAGCATCTGTTACGGGCCGGGCCCCAGGCTGGGTGCCGAGCACTGGAGGAGGGACCACTCTGGCCCCGTCCTCCAGGGCTCCAGCTCCAGCAGGCGACCAGATCCACTGCCCAGAAGGTCTCAGCATGAGCTGACTGCTGCCAGGGAGACCCAGGGCGAGGGCAGGCTGCGGAGGCCGACAGCACCACCGATTTCCTGGGGGTATCCTTACCATCACCACCTCTTATGTCTGCGCCGCTCAGCTCCCCCCACACCAAGCCCCTCTGCCTCTTCCCTCAGGCCTGCAGCTTCTGCTCTGTCCACTGGCCACCAGCGCCTCCCCTGACCCGGGGCAGAGGTCCCCTGACCCAGGGCAGAGGGACTGTGGGCGAAATCAGGTGTTGGCAGAGAGACTCCGGGAGAGGATTGTGTGGGTGGGATAGGTGGCGATCACGTTTCAACCCCCCCGGGGTTTGGTCCCTGTGGTCCACAGGCACCCACCACCCACCCCATTCTCTGTGCACCCCTGGGCCTGGCCGACCCCAGGCTCAGGGTCTTGCTCTGCCATCGCCACTCTGACTGCTGTTTGTTCTCCCCACCATGCAGACAGCTGTCGGAGGAGAACGCCAACCTCCAGGAATACGTGGAGAAAGAAACGCAGGAGAAGAAGAGATTGAGCCGAACCAACGAAGAGCTGCTGTGGAAGCTCCAAACCGGGGACCCGACCAGCCCCATTAAACTGTCCCCCACATCCCCCGTGTATCGCAGCTCCTCCTCCGGGCCCTCCTCTCCCGCCAGAGTCAGCATGACGCCCAGATGACGCCACCACGCTGGGGGCCGAGCTGCGGCACCCGGTCCACGAGGGCTCCCACCTGCGGGGAGTGGTGACCGCCACCGGCCGGCCCGCCTGGCCCCGCGCGCATGCCCAGTCGCTGCGTCGCGGCCTTCCGTGCGCGCATGCCCAGTCGCTGCATAGCCGCATCCCAGGCCGAGCCCTCTTCTAACCCTCGTGTGTAGGACTGTCCCAGGACGGGCACTTAGGAACGTGTAAGCGGTAGTGTCTCATGTGCAAACGTTCGGCCGTAGTCAGAGCCAAAAGAAGGAAATGCCAGTTGTCCTTGAGCAATGAACTTTCACTGCAGAATTTCAGGTTAGTTAACAGCTCAGTTTTGACTATCCATTGAATAATCCTTGTGTACTGCACCGGATATGTGTGTATATTTAGATACACGTATATACACATGCAGCGGTTCTGAATTGCATTTTTTATAACATTAAGTGCTGACGTATTTTGGTGACGGTCAGCAGTTTTCTAACTCGTGCCTAAGAATTATTGGGAAATGAAAATGCATTTCTATCTACCTTCCCAGGAATATTTCTACCCAAAATAGAAAAAGGAAAAAAAAAAAATACAGAGAAGAAGCGCCTTTCGACCTACCACCACGTGGTACTCTGTTTAACACAAACACCAGCCATTCGTGAACAGTAACTACCTTTGAAACAATCAGCTTCTTAGTCAACATGACGTGAGATCACTATTACTCCATCCGCAGATTTTATTACTAACATTCCTGTCCTGAGTGGATAAGGGGCAGCAGTGAGAAACCCTGAGGGGGATGAGCAGTTTTGCAGATTTTAACTCATGACCAGTGGATCGCCTATAGTCTTGTAAACACAAGTTTTGCTTTTTTTCCTAAATGGCATCTTGGAATCCATCATTCGGCTATTGCATCCTTGGGAAAATATGGAAGCGCATGACCTTAGAGAATGAGGGTCAGAATGGCCTTGGAGTTGGCCAGGACTATTCATGCTCCATCCTCAAGAAGGAAAACTGCTCATAGGGTCTGTATTCTGACTAAGCGTAGAGTAGAAGAGTGTCCTCTGGCATCCTGTTTGATGTGATGCTATAAATTGTCAATCCACCAAAATATGACCTTCAGCCCTATTTCATTGCCCGCCCCCTTCAGTTAGGTTCTGTAACCCAACCTCATTCTAGTACATTGAGCAGCTCAGGGGTTCTATCAGGGGCTTCCAGAAAACCAGTTCTTCTGTCCTGGGGGATCAGTTCCTGGTTGTGCTAGATCATCGCATAACCTCCCAGAAACCCAGGTGTCTTTTTCTGCTGAGAGAGGTCCCATCTTTGGCCCAGGAGGTTCTTCCACAGAGAGGAGCCCCAGGAAACAGCCAGTCAGTGGTCACAGGCTTCTGGCCTGGCATTTGTCTCCTAAATGGATTAGAATGGGAAAGAGATTCCTGTAGTGCTGTGGACCATTAGAAGCATAAGACACAAAGGAAAGTAGTTTCAGCCATTTATACAGTGATGATAATGATGTCTTTGTTTACTGTTCGTGACGAAGACCCTGTACTTTTCTCCCCAAGGGCCCTCAAAGTGGTCCTGAGCACAAGACTGATTCTGAGCAAACCCGAGATAGGCAGACTTGTGTAGATACACTTTGTGGGGCCAGAGTCACAGAGCAGGAAAGAAACGGCTCAAGAAAGGGGTCCCCAGGCCCAGAGCCCCTGCCTGCTCATGGCATATGTGGCCGGCATGAAGACAGACCTGGTCTGTGTTCGTTGCATGAGTCAAGGTTGGGCTTCCTGGCCTCACATACATCTCATTCCTAGCAAACCTCCAGGTCTTTGCCCATCCTGGGGACATAGACAGGAGATACCCAGTGAAGAAACATTTTTCCATTTAGTGGGTCTGCATGACGCTGTGATGTTGAGTTGGACATCCCGTTAGAGTAGATGATGCCACATTGACTAAAATACACGAATATGTTTTCTTTTAGCAGGCACCACCTGCAGACACAGTAGCTCAGCCCTCCGAACTAGGAACTGCTTCCATAACTGCACCTGCTAAATGCAGTCACACAGCAATACAGACATCAGTGTTATGTTAGAATGTGGTCCGGTGTGTTAGCCTGTTTCAGTCACAGTTGTAGTGGTGTTAGATCCAAGTAATCCCCCACTAGGTGACTAGAGCGTGGCTCTAACCATCCCTGACCTTGGGTACCCAAGCTAATTCCCACAATGCCCTGGCTTCCTTTCCTTGTCATGGACGCCCATGATATATGGCTCTTATCCCCAAACTTGAGGGGCAGCAGTGCCCCCCCTTCACCTCTCCCTTCCCCTCCCCAACACTGTTAGGACTTGGACCTCTGTCTCTCTGGTGTCCACCTCCCAGGCTGGAGCTGTTTCCACAGAGAAATGCTACAGCCTCCCCACCTGTCTTGGACAAACCCACCCAATCTCGCCAACCTCTCCTTGGGGTGTGGGATGCTGTTGGTGCCCTGCCCACCCCCAGCCCACCACACGCCCTGCGAGGTTCCAGCTGGGTGTCGGAGCAGCGGATGGGCCATGGAGCCGGCATACTTGGTGACCATCTGAAGGGGGTCACTCGTTCCTTTTCAGGCCCCTGCGGTTTCTGTGTTGCATTATTTGTGTTTGAAGCATATTAAAATGAACTTGAGGGACCTTCTGTGATATGCACTTGATGTGACCGTTGGCCTGGCCCCCCTTGGGCTTCAGGAGGTCAGGAGGGGACAGGGAGGCCCGAAGCCAGGTCCTTCTGTGTGCGCGCCAGGGTCAGCTGGTCGTCACTGAGTCTTGAGACCCTTCCGCCCCGACTCTGCCCCAGCTTAGCAGGGTCCCTGTGCCCAGCTTGTAGCCCGGGACTTGAAGCAGACTTCCCCCGAGCTTTGGGGGCTCGGTGGCTCTGCTCCTGTCTTGAGGTGGCCAGGTTGGACCAGAGGCCTTTGGAAAAAGGACACAAGAGATCAAGTACAAGCTCCTCACCGTCAACCTCAAATTCAGATGCTGGCCTGACTTTCTGCCCCAAGTGGGCTTGGTCACTTTGTATCTGGGTGGTCACAGAGTTCTCTTCTCAGAGCGGCCGGGAGGCCACTGGCTTCTGGCACGGGGGCCGTGGTCACAGCACTTCTTTGTCATGTGCTTTCTCGTGCCCGCGGGGTTCACAGGACCCTGAAAAGCACTGAGCCAGGACACTCCTTTAACCTGGAAGCATTCGCCCCCTCCCACCCCCTTAATACAGGCTTTCTGGCTGGTCTGCAGCCAGTTGGCAGGGGCACCAGGGGCCACAGGGAGACTCCAGTCTGTTCTCCCAGGCTGCTGCTGACCAGCAGCCCCTTGGCAGGTGATAAAGGCCCCTGAGTTACTCTGGACCCGCCAACACCATCCCAGGCCCCCCCGGGTCACCCATGCCTCCAGATATTGGTGACGGCTACCAATTAATGATTTACTCATCAACACATCCCAGCCTGTTCATGTCTTTTGGCGCCTCCTGCCACCCACTTTAATCAGAACCACCCTGCATTATCCTCCCCGCCCCCCCATGCATCAGTACTGTCACTTAGCAAAGGGACGCTGGCGCCTGGCCCAGGGCCCCGCGGAGGAACTGAAGGTGGACTGGCCTCCTAGCAATGGAGAACCGTGTCCCCCACGGTTGCCAGGCAGCAGTCGAGAGACCTTCGAAGTCAACCACTCAGTCCCCGCTCTGTGGTCTCTGGGAGTCCACGGCAGCTCCCCCACTGCCTGTGAGGCAGGGAGGAGGGAGGAGGGTGAGGCTCCCCTGCTGATGGAGGTGAAGGCTGTTACGCTGTGGATGCATCTGAGGACAAACCCAGCAGTGGGGCCAGGGGTGTTGGGTGGGGGGTTGGTGGACGGGACAGCCTCCCTGTCAAGCAAGAGGCAGGGCCTTGCCCATGGTGGGGGAGGGGGTGGTGCATCTGGGTCAAATGCTTAAAAAAGTGAACATCGCCAGAGGCTAGAGCTAATTCACTTAAGTTTGCTAAATACCTTTTTAAAATTTTTTCCCTTTGGAACCGGTCTCCTTCTCTGGAACTCTCTATAAACAAAAGCAGGACACCTGGGCTGTCTTGACCTACCAGCTCGGTTTTCTGACCCCCTCATCGTGGGGGATGAACAGGTGAATTTGCCCCCCTTACCGTGTCTGGGTTTCCCAGCGCCAGCATCACGCGGGATAGAGTGCCATCTAAGTGGGCCCCTCCCCTCCCTACAGGGCCCCGCCTCCCCACAGACAGGCCAGCCCATGGGCTTAGCTGCTGCTGATTGGTTTAACTGCACCCAAATCTGAGCAGCGCAGCGCATCAGCAGGCGCTCAGGAAGCAACCGCAGGGATTCGGGGAGTAAAAGTGTCAAAAGTCCGACCCCATACCTTCTCTCTACCTGCCACTGCCCCCTGCCACACCCCCACTCCCTCGCAGTCCCAGATGCGTGTTGAGAAGTAGGCCAGAGAGGGTTGCATCAGCAGACACACTGCCTGCCCTATTCCCTAAGCCTTGCTCACATTGCATTTGTGGCTTGGTGGACAAACTTAGATGGCAAAATGAAAAGATGCCCCTTTGCAGAGGGGCGCACAGGGGTACCCCCGATAAGGGTCCCCGCCCTCCGGGCCACCTGGTGACTGAGCAGTCCTGAAGGAATCCACATGATTTCTCCCCACCGTGGAGGCCGGGCTGTCGGGGGCAGCCTCTGACTCACCAGGCGAGCTTTGTCACCAAACGGTGAGCTCCAGGTGACTGCCCAACCGCCGGCCTCCGGACGGGAGTGGCTTCAGAGACCTGTATTGGGGTTTCCTGGGAGACCGCCAGGAGCTGGGCGGGGGTCCTCCAGACGCCGGGCTCTAGGTGGCAGCGTGGCGCCAAGGCACCGGCCTCTCTGGGCTGAGGGGGGATCCACGCATGGACCCGGCCAGGTCACCCCCAGGTCCGGGAGGCAAGTAGGGGCGCCCCGCCTGCCTGAGCGCGTTCCCACCATTCAGCCCGGGTGAGTGGCGCGCCGCGTGGCCCACGGGTGGTCCTTGGTTGCTTGATGATGGTCGCGCGGAGGCAGGGTGGGGCCTGCAGCAGCAGCCCCGTGCCCTCCTCTTAGTCACTCCGCATCCTCCTGGTGGGGTCACACCGTGCCTCGGGGTCTGAGAATTGGAGCCACTTGACTGAACGCACCTCCAGTGCAGGAAGACGCCTCCTTTCTGAAGTGGGGCCGGGGGTGGGGGGTGGTGGTCAGCCTTGAGGGTTGTAACAGCCACACCCCCGGCCTTCCACCCCTGTCCTGCGAGCACCCCATTCCAGAGGACGGGTGTGTATGGGGAGGTGGAGGGCAATACGAGGCCAAGGGGTTCTGGGTTCTGAGTTAGGGGGTGGGGGTGGTGGTTGCTGCACTTGATGTCACGTCGTCATGCAGACAGCACCTTCATCCCCCACCATCCGGTTGGCGAGAAGGCCTCTGGGCCCCAAACCCGAGGCGATCTGGGAAGAGCAGGCGGTTGGGGAGATGATCCAGGGGTCCCCCTGGCTGCGGATTCCCGTCTCCCGCCCCCACCCCGAGCTTCGAGGCAACGCAACATCCGGCTGATATTCAAGAAGCAAAGACCAGGCTCTGGGACTCTCCGAGCCACACCCCCCCCACCCCTCATCACCCTTCCCACAGCTGCCGGAATTCCTAAGACGCACTGGGCACGCCCAGGCCGTAGATAGGAGTTTATTAGGATTTGCAGAAGCATGACGGGATGTACCAACAAAGTTTGACTTTACAACATTAACTATTATGGCATCAGTGTACCAGCAAAACTGGGATACAGAGCACAGGTTCACATTTTTTAAAGGCAATGGACAACGTCTACTCTTGTCCTTAAAGTAAAAACGGGGGGTGGGGAGGGAGGTATGGGGGGGGACTTCGAGGGGACCAGCAAAGGCCAATCTGATTTGCAGTTAGCTGTCAGAATCTAAATCTAGTATTGCAATTATAAGAAACTATAAGAAAACTATTAGAAAAATAGAACATCAAACGAGCAAAAAAATATTACACAATTTACATAATAAAAAACACAATCCTCTTAATAATGGCTCCATGTTCAGTAGAAGAAAAAGTACACTGGAGAACCCACACACCTTCAGGTTTGACAATAAACCAACCCTCGTGCAGATCGTCACCCATTTGTGCTCCTTAGACTTATCCACGCTTAAAGGCACAACGTAAGCAGGAAACTTATCTTAAATACATATTATAAACTTCTCCAATGGGAAAATAAGTCTCAAACTTAAAAAGTTTGTCATCAAGAAACACAACATCATATATACCTTGTTAATAATTTAACAAGGCCTGAATGCCTCTTCCTAGCCATGCTCCCTGACCCTGAGAAATCTCATTTGGACTTCAAGCTGAGGTCTCACGGCGGAGTGTTCAGCCAGCAGTTCGACAGGTTGACAGGGTGGTCCTGGGGGAGGGGGGCTCCTGAGAACTGCGCCCCGAGACCCCTGGCTGGTCCACTCCCTCTTGAAAGAGCACTGCCGCCCAGTGAAGCAATGGGCACAGAAAGACTGGATCGTAGTGATGAACAGGAAGGTCAGTTGACTTCTTTTTCTTTTTTGCCTTAACCACCCACTAGGCATCATAACTACAATGATGAGATACGGAGTGTTTGTAGCTTCTTGCACCACTGGATCAATAAAGCATTTCATCACCCAAAAAAAGTCCACAAGAGTCTGATAAACTGTACATCTCGCTCCCGCTAAGGAGCCTTACATAACAATACTCTCATTACCAAGGCAGACAGATAGTAGTATATTTTAAATTACACATAAAATTATACACAACACATATTTAGTTCCATCTGAAGTTGAACTCACACACCTGCGTGGACATGCCACAGCCCCGCCTCTCCGTCCACCCTCGCACACTGGGGTGACGGGCCGGCATGAAGCCGCTCCCTCTGGTCTCCATGGGGGCGTTCTCAGGGGTCAACAGAACAAGCGGCTCTTACTCATGGTGTCCAAGTGGGGTGTCCACCCCTGGCATGGGGCCAGGCCTCTTCTCTGCAGCAGCGAGGCCGCCAGGTACCCGCGGGCTCACCTGCAACCAGGAGAGGCCTTTACGAGCTGTGTCCACACATCCTGTGCTGATGGATCTGCTTCCGATGTCAGGCTAGTCGCCATCCTAGGCAGGACCCAGTCAGCTCACAGTGCCCGCCTGGCAGTGGGGGTGGCGGGGAGGGGAACTGGCCCAGCCTGGGTTCCACTCGCTCCCCCCTCACCCCACGCATGGAACAGCAAACACAAGCGCAAGGCTCCTGCTGCGCCTGCAGCCCTCCTGGGTGAGAAGAGATGTGACCAAGGGGCAGAAGGGAGTGACGGGGCCCTGGGGGGCTCAGGGTGGGCGGAGGAGCCCCCACAGGGCTGTAGTCAACCTGGGGTGTCCAAAATCCATGGGACGAGGTGGTTGATCACTTGATGGAGACTGAGGGGCTCAACGGAGCAAAACCCAAATCAGGGGAGATGCAAGTGATGGTGACATTGTATCAACTGAGCAGCAGTCTCCCGACCATGGCTCTATCACACCTGCTCTGGGTTTCTAAAAACTCACCTGGCCCAAAATCAGGGGAGGAGGTGTAGGCAGCGGGGACATGGGGGCCATGCAGGGTCCTGACTGCCCCCGAAAGGTCCCATCCCCGCCCAGGGGCTCACGTCTCCCCCGCCCACGGGCCCGGCTGATTCTCCAGAGACACTGCGCCCCTCACTCTCCCACAGAGGGCCCAGGGGACCGCAGGTGGGTTTTCACAAGGTCACGCGTGTGCAGGGAGGGGCCCACGAGTGGTGGGAAGGGGCAGTTCCTTCCCACAAGCGGGTCTTTCCAATGCGAGTGTTTGAGGCTGGTACCCAGGGAACCGAGGACACAACATCCCCAGGGGGTGTCTCTGGACAATAACAGCCAAGTCATGAAACTGAGTCTGGGCAGGGCTGAGATGTGAAACTGTCGGGCAATTCCAGTGGTTATTTTCTGCCTGTGTGTGTGTATTTGTGTGTGCATATTATGTCTCTGTGTGTACATGTGTATATGTGTATGTGTTATATCTGTGTATATACATGTGTGTTGTCTGTGTGTATACATGTGTGTCTACGTGTTATGTCTGTGTGTATATGTATGTTATACCTGTGTGTATACATGTGTTGTGTGTATACACGTGTGTATCTGTGTCTGTGTGTGTATGTGTGTTATGTCTGTGTGTATCTCGTCTCTGTGTGTATGTATGTGTCCATCTTAGGCGCAGGAAGGCGGGCCGTGATAACAATGTCTCCCATCCCTGGGTGGGGATGGAACCTTTAGGGGGCAATCAGGCCCCTGCCCGGCTCCCACCCACCCCTGCCTACACCTCCTCCCCTGATTTTGGGCCAGGTGAGTTTTTACGAACCCAGAGCGGGTGTGATAGAGCCAGGGTCTGCAGACGCCGCTCAGTCTCCTGGCAGCATGGCCCCACACAGAAAAGAAAAGCAACGGTATGAAAACCTCTCTTCACAAAAGCACAGGTCACTGAACCCCATCCAACGACCCAGGGATCCTTTCCTCAGATGGGGCTCTGACCCGGCATGGAGGGTGGGGGCCTCTGATACCAATGGGCGGGCCCTGCGGCACAGCCCCTTGGCTCCAGGTGAGGCAGGGGACCATCTGTCATGACGGGCCCGCCCGTGAGATGCTTAGACACACCTTCTCGGCCGAAGGACGAGGCGTGTAGCTGGCTCAAGTGTCAGCTGTGCACAGTCTGCTGGGGGCGGTCAGGCTCAGAAATTTCAGCCGGAAATAAAAAAGTGAGAGAAACTCTACCCGCCACCTTTCCTAGACACACTTGTTCCCTCACACCCTCCGCCTCGGTGGAGAAACAGCAGACAACTCGAGCAGACAGGTGGCTGGCAGGCCCCAGGAAGCAAGCAGACAACCAAAACACCTCAACGAAATAAGTTAAGATTCATCAAAATATGGTACAGCACCAGCTACATAAACCTAAATACCTTTCTTTGGAAACCCAAGCTTCGGGCTCTCGTCCCCACTTTGCAAGGTAAGCAAGTGAGATTGTGAATAAAGTTACCATGAGTGACCAGAGGGGACGATGGAGCCTGCAACTGGGGCTAGGCCCTCGCCCACCCGGGCCAACCCTGCTTCACTCATTCTTGCTTTTTTTTTTCCTCCAAGAACTTTCTGGGGCAGAGGGAGAAAAGCCGAGAGCCATCAGTTTATCAGGCTTCTTTCTACCAGATTTGTGTCAAAGGGCAGAGAGGGAAGATAATGGGAGCTAAGCTTCACAAGCAGCATTTACATTTTGTGTGGAGTCAGAAATGCCAGCCCCCTCACCTCCTACCAATGCAGGCCCTTCCGTCCCCCAACTCCACTCTTGGGAAGGAAGGCACGGACCACCTGCAAGGAGTGTCCCTGGGGCCTTGGTAGGGCACGCCATGTGCACAAGGACACGCGGTCATTACGGAGGCAAGGGTCCCCCGCGGCATCCAACGACACTCACAGAGCACACGAGCAGGACGGCACGGGACCCCACACTGCCCCGCCGCAGGCAGACCCTCACACCCTGAACAATTCAGGGAACGACTCGGCCATTTTCCACATCACCGTCACGCGCCGGCTGGATTGCATGGCGACTCAGAGCCAAGGACAGGAGGACTCTGTGTGACGATGAGACGCATAAGGGGCCAGAGGCAGCTGGGGGCCAAGGGGGGCGGCCGTGCATCATTCAGGACGAGCGGACACTGGCCTGGGGAAGCTTGAGACCCATGAGCAGCAGAGGGGGCAGGACCCTGCGAGGAGCTGGGACCAGGGGGAGCGCTCAGCTAAGCTCCGCTCTTTTGAGGCAGCCTACAGAAATAGTGTCACATTCCAGTTACTCAGGACTCGGCCGAAGCAGCAGCGGGGACCTGCTGGAGGGCCGGTGGCTGCAGGAGGCTGGCGGGGGGGAGCCTGGTCCCCTGGCAGGAGTGTGCAGAGTGCGGGCCAAGGCCCCTGCCTGGAGGGAGGGGGCGGTCACAGTCCGGCGACCCTCCGGAGGCAGCTCAGAGGGCCGAGCAGGAGGAGATGGTCTGGTCTTCCTCTCTCAGTAAACTAAACTGCTGGGCCAGGGCATGGGCACAGCCAAGGGACAGACACCCAGCACCGGGGCGGCTGTCTGGGGCTGGGCCAAGGCGGGGAAGGGACCCGACAAGGCGCCCCCGGGATAGAGGCCTGGGCTCCCGAGGTGACCTCCATTCTGCCCAAGGCCGTGGCAGCCGGGGTGCCGGACGGGCGAGGAGAGGGGCTGCCGTCCTTGTCTGGGAGGAGGCTCGGAGGCAGGCGGCGGCCAGTCCCAGCCCCGGCCACGTGGCCCCACCGAGAGCTGCCAGGGGGTCGGGGCCGCGGGCCGCACGTGGGCTGCGCTGGGCTCCGGGCACGCGGGCTGGGTGGGGTGGTGGTGCGAGGTGCTGCGGGGGTCTCTCGGGGGCAGGACCATGCGTCACTTGCAATGATCCAAGTGACCGTCAGGAGTCCTTGTGGGGTCGGCGGCCAGGGTCGCCTCCTCGCTGTGCCAGAGACCGTAGCCGAAGTAGATGAAGAAGCCTGCGGGTCGAGGGCAGAGACAGGGTGTGAGTCCGGGAGGCGGCCCCAGGGTCAGGGTCTCATGAGAGGCAGGTGGCCTGCCCCCCAGGTAAGCCCACATGACTTCCGGCAGGGTCACCTCTACACCTGGCAAAGGCAGGCGCGTCTTTCTGGGCAGCCTTGCGCCTGGCAAGCCACTGGGTGGAGACCCCTGGAGGGGCGCTGGTGCCTCTGCCTCATCCACTGCCCACCTGGCGGGGCGGCTGCCCTGTGTCCGCTGGAGGGGGCCAAGACAGACTCTCCAGAAGTTGTGCTGGGTTTCCAAGGGCACTAGGGCTCCCTGGGCTCCTCACGCTGTCTGTTATAGCTCCTGATTTTCCCATGAGTGGCTTAGACCCTCAGGTCATGTGGGAATTCATGCAACCCACCAATTCAGTCATTCTGCTGAGTTTCAGGGGCCCCTATGGGTCTGTGGTGGGACCCGGAGATCTGTGCCTGTAACTACCGCCCCCCACCACTGACCACCTTTGTGCCAGTGACAAGGGAGAACAGTCCTGGAGCCCAGGAACTTGTGGAGGGTGCTCAAAAGCAGGCATCCCCCACCTCTGCAGGGAGGCAGGGAGGCAGGGAGCTACCTCCCTACCCCTCAGTCACTGGGGCAGGGGGGTTTGGCCACAACTCAGCCTAAAGGCCACTGCTCTCATCAGGGGTACAGCCCGCTCAGGCCAGTCTCCCAGCGACCAACACTACAGAAGGAACCTGGGTCCATTTCTGCACCTCGGGCTGCTAGAGGCCCGCAGAGGGGCCATGGTCGGTGCAAAATGGGGCCAGGCCCCAAGGGGGAACCTCTAGTTCTCCCACGGGTCTAGCCAGTCCCTACAGCCCAGGGGGCTGTCCAGACAGTGCAGTCTGGGGTGAAGAAGGTGGTGCTCTGTCAACAGCAGACTCACGGGCTGATTCTTCGAACGTCAAGCTCTTTCCTGAACAGATAACTGGTTCAGGCCAAGGCTTTACAATTATCTACGAGGGAGGGAGGACCCACAGCCTACCAGGTGTTCCTCACTGTCAGAGAGAAAACCTCTGACTACACGTGTTTTCACTGTGTTTTGAAATCGGAAATGGGGGTAGCTGGAGGACGCAAGCCAGCAGGCCAGTAGCAGAGAAGACAACAAGCTGCTGGGCACGGGCGGGGAAGGGGCCGAGTGGGTGAGTGGGGGGCCTGAGAGAGGCTGGGACACCACGTGCTGGTCACCTCGAAACCCATGCCTCACATACCGATCAGCATCCACACGGCAAACCGGACCCACGTGCCCTGGTCCAGCTGCATCATGAGATAGACGTTCACGAAGATGCTCAGGACGGGAAGGACCGGCAAGAAGGGCACCTGCGGGGACGGGCGGCAAATGTGAGACGGCAGAGCCACCCGAGGGGAGCACCCTCCCAGGCCTGATCTGGACGGGCGGGGCTGTGTGGGGAGGGGCTGAGTGCCAGGCCCCACCCCAGCACCCCCATCCCCTCAGCACCCACAACACAGCCCCACAGGCAAACCCTCGCAGGTGGGAGTTTGCTCTGAGCGACACTAATTGCCACAGTGAACTCGCGTCTCACTTCTGAGCTTGCTGAACGATCTTGTTATTAGTAGACTCTAAGCCTACAGAGGCCCCGGTCATCTCCGAGGCCTGGTAACGACACACGATCCACCAGGGCAGACATTTACTTATGAAAAGCTTACAGGATGCAGGGGCACTGCCCCACCCAAGGGCCAGGGGCAGGCCTTTCTCGGCAGCACTGTCTGTGCCTGGCTCACATGCCCCTGAGTTTGGCCAGCAAGCACCTCACTCCGCACGCCCAGGCCTGCTGGAGCCCAGAGGGGCAGGGTGGTCTCCTGCAGGACAGTCAGGATCATGGCCTCCCGGGGGTGGGTCCCTCCAGCTGTCAGGCTGAGCTGTTTACCTTGAATGAGAGCTTGGTCTTGCTCTCGGGCTGCCGCCAGATGATGGCCGTGACCACGGAGCAGAGGAAGGCAGAGCCCATGAGTAGAAAGACTGCCCACAACTCCCCCTTCACCAGGGCATCCTTGCCAAGCACAGCTGCCATGCAGAAGGTGATGACCAGAAGTGCTAAGAGGGACAGACAGAGAAAACTGCACTTCAGTCATTCCCCAGGATCCCACAGACAAATCAGTTCTTCCCAAAACCCCAGAAGGGCTGGGCTCCATCTCTGCAAGCACCAATCCCAATTAGGGCAGAATAACTGACATCACGGTCCCCCTGGGGATAAGCAAGACCCCAAACACTGCACGGGAAGGGCAGGTTCTTACCTAGGAGGCTGGTTGAGATGTTCACGATTAGCCCGGAGAATTTGGAAGGCTCTGTATTTTTTGGTGAGAGTACGGTTTTCAAAGAAAGCCTCTCTGCTTCCGGTAAAAAGCCCGTCTGAGAATCGCTGCTGCTCACCAACTCATTCTGGTCAACTGGATCGAGCTCGTCGCTAGTCCTGGCCATTTGGTATACCATGTTGGGCTGCTCGGGCTGATACCTGTGAGGCAGCATATTGTTTAGCCATCTGATGAGGCTTTAACTCAGCACAAGTACACACACTCTAACTGATGTTCTTAGTAAGCCTTCAAAGCTGCCTAGGACACAAGACATAAAAAGGGAAGATGGTCAGAATGATAAAACGTGCGTGTGTACTAAAACACTTCAGTTGTGTCCAACTCTTTGCAACTCCGTGGACTGCAGCCCACCAGGCTCCTCTGTCCATGGGATTCTCTAGGCAAGAATACTGGAGTGGGTTGCCGGGTCCTCCTCCAGGGGATCTTCCCAACTCAGGGATCAAACCCGCATCTCTTAAGTCTCCTGCATTGGCAGGCAGGTTCTTTACCACTGACTTTCCGCAAATACAGAGGAGACCTGAGCCTCACTCCTGCCTCAGGGCAACATCCTCTTCCTTTTATGTCTCTGTTTTGAGGGAACTTGACCTCCACCATGAAACAGCCCAGAGGAAGGTACGGAGACCATTTCTCTCACTCTGAAAAGCAGCACTGGCCCTTAAGATATGGGCCACTCACAACAAAACTATGGTTGTAGGAAGCTAAAATACAGACAGAAATAGAAAGCAATTATATTAGGATCCTATTCCATGCAGAGTCAGAGAAACGTGTCTGCAGGCTGATGAATTTGAGAAATTCTGTTTGCATGATTTAATTGGATCAATTTATTTAAAAACTCTAAGTGCCTTGGGATAAATAACTCTCTAAAGCTGGGTGAAGGACCAAGCCTATGGCAAGATTTCCAAGACACAAGCCACCTGCAAGTGAAGCATTCATTTTAAATGAGGCTAGTTATCTTCCCAGCCAAAAGGAACAGAGCTCCAATCTCCTCCACCAGCTTTGAAACACGCAGTGCTTTACGCATTATTCTGCATATAATCTAAGAGTGAGTATGAAGATACTTCACCATTTTTTTTTTTTGTCACTGACTCACTTAAGAAGGTTGGGGGAGACTCGGAGAAGATTGTAGCACTGAGCTCTTGGGAAGAAACACATGGTCAGAAACACTAGCTCTAGCTGATTCTCCAGAGCCACTACTGAGGCTCAGCCCAGGGACGGTAGCTGCAGAGCATGTTATGGATGGAATCCATGGCTTGGCAAGATTGAAGCCCTGCAAAGTAGGGGGCCTCTCGCCAGGAGACCACATTAGGTGGCTATGCTGCCTGGAGTCACCCCTGGAAGCAAGGAAGCAGAGCCCTGTCTCCCGGAGCAAAGGAAAACTGGGGCAGGGTGAGCTTGGAGGGACGGGCACCGTGGCAGCCAAGAGCAGTGGCCCGGATCTGCTGTGTTATGGCCCTTCACGGGGCCGGCCCCGTCCGGACAAGACTCAAAGCAGAACCTGGAGAGTCTTCCTGCACATCACCCCCGGCCCTCCAGGCTCTGTAACAGCACTCTCACCTCCATGGAAGCATCACAGTGTCCCCAGTTCTCCCAGTGCCCACCAGGGCCAGTCCCTAGTCTCCGGTCCAAACTGAGATCGTTACCCTCAGCCTTCAAAGATTCTAATCCAAAGATCCAGCCCACAGCCGTCAAGTTGTCTCTGTCCTCCAGACATCCAGCCAGAAAAGCCAGAGCATGTGAGAGAGACAGAGCAGTCAAGCCACCCACCCTGGACTCCTTTCAAGGCTATTCTCTGTAACTAGATTTTCAAGCACCAGGTCCCACCCTCTCCCAGGCAGTTCCCAAAGGAACGATCCACAGCCTCAAGTTTACAGCGTATAAACCATTAACACGAACTGGTAGCAGGAAGCTGGCAGGGGGCGTCTGCTCTTGTGTCCTGGAACCCGGAAAGCCACACCTACCGCAAGACCAAGACGCAGGCAGCCACCAGAGAGTAAGCCAGGAGAGTGCCGATGGACATGAGGTCCACCAGGTCCTTCAGGTCGAAGAGGAAGGCCATCACCGCTGGGGAGGAGGAGACGAACATTAGGACGGGTGTGGGTCCGGACACACTGGCAGCCAGGGCCACCACCCACCCGTGACCCAGGGCACCCGGGAGGGCCTCCCCTTCCCCCTGCCAGCCCTTTCCATGAAGAAACACAGCAGCACTGCTTAAAAGGAAGGAAAGCTCGGGACTAAACCACATACACAGCTCCCAACAGACAGCAACAATAAATAACATTTATATAGAGAGAGCGCTTTTATCAGCATGACCCTGTTGACCACCATGGCAATTCTGCCAGCCATCCCTATACTACAGATGGAGAAAGCAAAGTCCAGACACGTTGAGAGACTTACCTAAGGAAGGGCACACAGCTAATAAGTGGAAAAGTCAGGCGCTGAGCTAGGTTCTTATGGCTTTGGGGCAGTATGTCTTCCTCTACACTATGCAGACTCTGTGAGTCTGCATCTATGCATATCTATCCATCCACCCATACACTACCCATCCACCATCCATCCATCATCCTTCCATCATCCACTCATCAACGGCACTCATGAGCATGCCAGTCACTGGGTGCTAGGTATGTGCCACTGAACAGGGTAGACTAAAGAGTCCTTTGGTCTTCCCAAGAATACCACCTGAGGCCTGCATCAGGAGGCAAAAATGAGGAGGAGGTGAGTGAGGGCAAGTCCCGGGCCCTGGGAGGTCTCACAGAGGCTCCTAACCCAGAAGGTGGGCGTGGAAAGTGATGTTATTCCCAAACAATACCAGTCCCTTCACCACAACCCCACTTAATGCAAAGCAAAACACACAGTCTCTTTTGAAAATCACTCCTAGATTTTTTTTTTCATTCCCGGATTTTTATAAGTGTATGCACATCTATTTATGTGGGTATATGTGTCAAGTTTCCCATTTAAAAAATAACTTGGCTGGATCCACTTTGGGATATTTTCAAATCACATGCAATCAACACAAGTTGAAATATAAACGCAAAGCCATTACTTTTCCACAAATACTTCTCAAGCCCACACAAACCATGGCAACTAAAACAAATTCAAATTGAGGTTAACTAACAGAATTAAAGAGCAGCGAGGGCCTACAGAATAATTAGAAAACCCACTCTGTGTGTATCAAACGCTTACATCCTCACTCAGAGAAACCTGAGCCAAACTTCTTCCATGGGAGGTGATTTTTGGAAAACTAAAGACTTACTTATCACTCTGACTTAATAAAAAGAAAGAGCAAACCCTTGGTCTGGTGATACAAGAACTTTACAGTGGCTTTAAAGTTACAGTTTCATTTCCCTTAATCAGCACAGGAAGGAAATTAAGGCCAGGCTTCAGCATGATCACATTACATGTAAATATTAAAAAAAAAAAAAGAAAAAGAAAAAGCACCCGCTATTTCTAATTCCTTAATCCCATAAACACACTGGTCGTATACTGATACAAGGTGTCGCTTAACCTGCCCACAGCGATCACACTCAAGAATGCAGACTCATACTGCATGTGTGTGAAATAAGAAAAACTGGCTTCCTTTCATTAAACAACATTGATCCATAAAACTAAGCACATTTTGCTAAGGGTGTGAATGCTATTAACAATTCACTCATTAAGAGGGTCAAACGCCTCCCCTGTGGCTATCTGACAAGTTCCGGTGATCCAACTGTGACCGGTATGTGTCCTCATTCACCACGGAGACTTCCCGCTCCCCACATGGGCTGGGAGGACCCAGCCAGTCTGGCCCCAAAACAAACCAAGATCCGAGAACCACTGCTGTCCTCCCTGGGCATGCATCCTCACGTCCCCCTTCTGAGCCTCTGTCTCTCATCTGTACACCTACCTCTGGGCTGTGAAACACGACTCAAAGAGAAAACAGAAAACCAAGAGCGGTCTCTTTGCAGGGCTGCTCTGGCTTTCAACGTGCACACAGGCCCAAGGGTTCCCCAGCCCTCCACTCCCTTCTGCCCTCTTGGCGAGGGACCTGATATTGGTCCGTCAGATCCACCTCCTCTCGTCCTGCCGTTTGTTGTTCATGAGCTCAGGGTGGAGGGCTACCCCAGTCACACCCTCAGTGTTCCCTGGGGAACAGGTGGCATGTTTTATAAAACACTGACTGTAAGGGATTCTCGCTTCCCAGAGAATTCACGAGCTAAGACACACGGACGGTGAATTTCCAGCACTGACAAGACAGGGCATGTACCATGAAGGACTTCATCCCACCAAGGGATGGGGGGATGAGGTCCCACTCAGGGACACCTGGGGAAGGGGAAGGACACAGCTCTGAAGGGACAGTGTACGTGCTGAGCTGAGTGCAGCGGATGGCAATCATTGAAAAACGCAACCTGTGAATTCCATCACGTTCTCTGTGAAACTGGCATCTGCCTTTTGTCAAAAGGCACTCAGTTACCTTGCGACAAACCAGACTCCAGTGGTAAAAACCAAACGTTAAAAAGACCAGTCACAACTTCTCTCAGACCGGCACAGGCCAAGACATTTCCTTAGGGAATAATAACCCAACTGTTAAAATGCTGCATAGGAGATTCCAGTTCTTACCGGCAATGGCACCCGAGGTTAAGGTGGCGATTATTGGCGTTTTGGTCCTGTCGTTGATTTTGGCCAAAAATTTAAACAGCAGCCCATCTTCAGCCATGGCATAGATAACTCGAGGCATGGGAAACATGGAACCTAAAAGACTAGATGGGAGGAAAAGCGAACCGTGTCCACAAGAGAGCTCGGGGGAATAAAGGCATCGCAACAGGTGTTCACACCAAGGAGAGGGAGCTGGCTCCAACCTGGGAAGCCCGCAGCTCAACACACAGAGCCTGGAGGAGCACTTGCAGCAAGTCTGCACATGTGTGTGAGTTGGAAACGTCTAACATAAACCAGCGTGGCATCTAGACACAGTTCTAGAGACATTCTGTATTTATTCCTGCAATTATCTCTGGCTGAATCAAAAAGAAAAGCGTCACTGCCTTCATGAAGATCTCCCGGAGGTCCACAAATGTTTCCTGTGTTTACAGGATAGCAGGAAGCATGAGGGCAAAATGATTCTCATTAAAAGGTATTTGCGGCCCTTGCTCCTTTTTAATGATAACCTCTGCTTTATGGCCAAAATAAGGGCCAGAGACAGTGCTCACAGAGGTGGCCTGGTTCAGCCAATGGCCACAGTCAGGGACAAGAGAAGCAGCCCTTGCTGAGCCGACTATGCTGAAACATGGGCCTTGGGCTATTGAGATGAAATGTCTGTATCGCAAAGACAGCCCCAGGGACTGATCGAGAGCAGCCCAAGGGGATAAGTCCCACGATCGGGGCTGGGTTGGGCTCTACTTCAAGGGGAGAGAGGAGTGTTCACGGCACACTCGCCTTCCCGAGTATCTCCGCTCCTCACCTGGTGGACAGGGCACAGAGGGAGCCAACGGCCACTGCATACTTGGCACCCTCCCAGCCCACGTGCTTGAAGGCATCCGGCAGGGGGCTGTTCTTGTCCAGGCAGAAGTAAGGCATCATAAGGGTGAGGGCGGCCGACACCCCGAAGTAGGCGATGAAGCAGATGAGCAGGGACGCGACGATGCCCACAGGGATGGCCTTCTGCGGGTTCTTCACCTCCTCCCCTGCAAGCCGCAAGGAGTTCAGCTGGGGGCTTGAGACCACCCTGCCCCTCACAGCCCTGCAGGGCCAAGGCCCTTCCAGGCTCCGGGGAAGCCAGGGGAGAGGCCCTCAGACCACAAACCACGATACCCACGGGCCCAGGGAAGGTGCTCTCAGCCTCTGCACTGAGGGTCAGCGAGGAAAAGAGAACACGCTGGAGGCTGGGAGCCCTGCCTCCTCGAGCACCCGGATGACGGTGGACTCGGTGGCCACACTCTCCCGGAGCGCACGTGGGGTCTTCTGTCAGCTGCAGCCACAGTGTCGTCACCCCGGGCCCGCCGGGGACAGGCAGGCAAGCTCCTGTCGGGCAGGCCACTTGGGGAGTGATGAAAGGGGGATTGGCAGGAAGGTGCAAATCCATACTCGGGCACTCAGGAGCAAACGGGCGGCAGTAGGCACGCACACACCCCAGGGAGGGGAATCAGATGCCTGGCCAGGCGAGCCCAGGTGTCCCGAGGGCGGTGGGCCTACCTGTGGTGGCGATGCAGTCAAAGCCCACGAAGGCGTAGAAGCAGGTCGCTGCCCCCGACAACACGCCGGGGAACCCGAAGGGCATGAACCCACCGACACCAGGTTTCCCTTCCTTCGTGCCACTGAAAGACAGCACCGCCGTCAGGGTCACAGCCCCCGCTTCCTGGCCCCAAAGAGGAGCCACCCCGACGGCCACCCCGAGGCCCAGCTGGGCCCGGCCCTGCAGCATCCTCCGGCCAGCAGGACAGCGGCCCCGGGGCTGCGGGCAGATATAACTCCAGGACCCCGCTGGTGACCGAGGGGCCGGGAAACAAATGTCTCTCTGGCCAGAGGCCCGCGCAGGTCATCACTGCGGGGACACAGAGCGTGAGGATGGCCAGTGACAGGAAATCCCATCAGCTGGCAGAAACAGCCTCTTCAAAACAGTATGAATGCCCTGTTTCATGCATCAAACTGGGACGACCCTGAGGGATGGGATGGGGAGGGAGGTTCAGAGTGTACACATGGTACACCCATGGCTGATTCATGTCAATGTATGACAAAAACCACTACAGTACTGTAAAGTAATTAGCCTCCAAATTAAATTAATTAATTTTAAAAAAAACCAAAAGAAAGCTAAATCTAGACAGACAACCAGGAGACAGGAGGAGCCATCTCCGCTCAATTCTTCACTGGCTCACAGTGACCAGTGAGGGAGCCTGTGAAGCTTTCCAAGTCGACTGGGTTACTTCAAAGCTTATTTCAAATTGGCCCTACTCTGCCCTGAATGAATGGCACTGATAAATTTGGCATGAAAAGGACTCAGGAATGCTGGGGAGTGACTTATTAAAAGCTCTCAATTCTCTGCAGTCGCGTTTCGTCCCAGAAGGCAGGCTCTTTCTGTTTGAACTGCTAACCACATGATGTTAGAGCTAGTTTCGTGGGTTCGTTTCCTGTCTGTGTTCCAGTTAGTGAACCAGCTGCTGATCAGCGCCTGCCCACGGAGCAGGCCATCGGAAGACACGCCGGGCACCCGGGCCTTAATCAGAGGTCAACGCAACATGTGATCAGTCAGCTTTCCAGCCTCTCTTGCAGCTGGACGTGGCTCCCTACTGGATTCTGGCCAGGGGAATGTGGGCAGAAGGGACATGTCTTCCAGATCTGAGCACATGGTCCTCGCACTCTAGCCCCTGATGGGAGAGCTAGGTTGTGCCTGTGCCCACCCACAGCCCAGCTCTGACCACATCATGTCCTTGTGGACGATCCGGCCCCTGAAAGCCTGCATGTGTCCAGGCTGGCCAGCCACCCCCAGCTGATCATTCCTGGAGCTAAGATATCTGCATTTTAGGAGGATCTCTTCAAAGCACCAATTTAACCTTTAGCCATAATTAAAACAGAATTGCAAACAAAATCAGAACTCCCTGTTCTCCCTCCTGAGACCCTAACATGTTATCAAAAAATCTGACCAAAAAAAAAAAAAAGGAAGGTCAGAAAGATCCATTCCAACATTTGGCTTTTGTTTCCCGAAACAAGGTGAGCTTGTTCTTAAGGGCGTGCCCAGAGGCCTGAAAAGGCATAGAGTGGAGAGCCGGCCGGTCACCTGCCTCCAGCCCTAGGCATCCTGAGCCCGATATGGAAGGACGCTGAGGCCACAGCGTCTCAGGGTTGACGTGGCCCACGTGGAGTGGGAGTGAAAGAGGTTGTTTGCCATCATCGCGTTATGATAACCTCAGTTGTTCTGAGAAACTACTCTGAAGAATGCCTGAGATAAAATGTTCCACTGACTTCTTTGTTCAAGGTGATCAGATAGGAAGGCATTTCAAAAGAAAGTGGCATCTGCATGGTACCACAGAGGAAAATCTTTTCCGAAAAGGAAATTCAGAGTTCGATCATCAAACAGGATACGGGGAAACGGACTGCTGAGTGAGCCCGACCACAGTCCTCACCGAGGCAGGGTTTTGGAATCAGCATCCAGAGATGCCGCCGTTCCCCCATCATCTTCCTGTGTCGTACAACCTCAGTCAAATACAAGGCAAGAAGACACAAATTTCAGACAAAGGAAACACCCTCAACTATCTGACTGCAAAAAAAAAAAACAGTTCGGTAATGACAAAATATCCTAGCTCAAATTACATTTTTTCACAAAGACTGTACTGTACTGTGCTATGGTAGCCAAGGACCGCCCTAGCCACACCACTCCCAGGCGCCCAGAGTCAGGGGGACACCCACTTGTTCAGGCAGAGGTGACCTGACGTGTTCCGGAAGTCCTCCTCCGTGAGCTGCCAGTTTTTAATTGATCCTTTCACAAACCCCGACACCATGATGAAGCCCAGCACCAGAACGTTGACACACGTGAATATTTTGTTGACCATGGCGGACTCTTTCACACCCAGAGTTAAAAGTCCTGCAAAAGGGCATAAACAGAAATGACCTCAGTGCTGACCTCGGGCCAGCAAGTCCCTCTGGGGTGGGGGGGTGGGGGGATGAGAAGGTGACGTTAAAAGAATGTGAGCAGCGTCAAACCTCTGAAGAGGAACGAGGCTGCAGTGACTCTCATCCTAGAGGCATGCATCAAAACAACCCAAGTCTGCAGCGTGTTGACCAAAGCCAGCAGGGCTGGACATCCAGCCACCTCGTGGAATTGAGACAACAAGCAGGAGCACCCCGGGGTCAGACGGGCTGGGCACATCTGAGCCAGTGGCTGCCCTCAATAGCAGAGCCCTCCCTGGGACGAAGGGAGCCTCTCGCTGAACCTCAATCACTGAGAACCACCCAGTGGCTGGGAGTTCCTTTCCTCCAAGGGGACATTCTGCTCAGCTTCTTGAGAGAAAAAAAGAGTTCTCCAGACATGGAATCATCCAGATACTCTGTGGGGTGTTAGCAGTGTCCACAGTGACGACCACCTGGGGGTCCTACCATGGAGTCCCCCTCCTGGGACTTAGCACACGTAGAACATCTCAGCCAGGCAGCTCTACCTCGAAAATTCGAGATAAAAAAAATACTGGGTGGAAAAAGCATGAGTGACACTATGCAAGCTGCAGGTCCGCCTTGCAGAACACAGAACATGCTTCTGTGGAGAACCTTCAGCCAGGCAAGGGAAGAGTCAGGGAAGGTGCCCAGGGACACAGGACCACGATCGGACTGGACATCTCTTACATGTTTTACCATAAAAGATGCTCTACGTGATAGACTGATTTCTGAAATACAGACATTGCAAGGGCATGGAGCAATTCAGGGAACACTTCACACTCCGCTGTGTTTGTTCTTCAGCCTCCCTCCCTCTTGTCCATATGAAAATCTCACTCCTGCAGACTTAATTTCTGATCCATGTTCCTGCCAGCTGGACCAGACATACCACTGAGACTGGCCCTGTGCAGAACGATCTCAATTATGTGGTGTGTAAAATAAGGCATGGATGTTTTTAAAACCCATCCAAAATCTTCTAACCTCAAAAGAGAATTTATCTGCATATCCACTTAATGTGCATATTAACAAAACTCCCAGCTTGGTGGCTGAGACTAAGGTCAATGTCACTACGATGACTAAGGCAGTCATCAGCTGTGTTCAAGCCCTGTCTGCAACTTAAAAATCCAGTACCAGAAACTCTGTGGGGAAACTTCATTATTTAAGGGCTTGTTTTGCTAGCTGATTGGATGCAAACCACCCAAGCCATCTCCAACCCCAAGGTTCAGTGACCATTGGGCCTGGTTCCTCCATGTTGTCCTGGCTGATGAAGGCCAACTCTTCTTCCTAAATGGTCATCCGCTGAGTCAGAAGAACTCGTATTTCTGGGTCACCTGCACACAAAGCCCGCAGCCCTAACGAAATCCTACTCCACAAACACTTACGCAAACACCTGAGAGTCTCATTTTAATTAAACAGCGCACCACTCAACCTATTCAATAGGCCAACCCTATGTGAATCTGAGAAGCCATTTTGACAAAAAAAAAAAAAGATGTCTGCATCAATTAAAGAAGACAAGAATATGGGGGGATGGGAGGAGAAAAGGAAAGAGCCTGAGCCTCACCCCGGACTCCCGGTTCCCTCCCAGTGCACCCAACATGTGGCCGTACCTGTGAGAATGAGGATGATGATCACAGCGAATATGTCTGGGTTCTCGGCCAGCACCCCGGGCGCATGCAGGGCCATGTGCGTCCGCGAGAACTCCCCAATGGGCTTCCCAATCAGCTCGTCAAACGTTGCGCTCCAGGCCCGCGCCACGCTTGAGGTACCTGCCGAGAAACACACCGTCGGATGGAAGAGAAGGCAATACTCAACACAGCGCCTGTTGTCTAGCCTGATATCTGGAGCACCCGCAGGGGCTCACAGCTCTCGGGTGCTGGGGAGCAGAGGACCCCGCAGCAGCCGCCACACCTCAGGATGTGCTGAGTCAGACAGGAGGACCGGTCAGAGTCCGCAGAGAAGCCAGATGTAGCGCCTGGGACCAGATGCATTCTCCATCACAACCAACACAAACGTGTGTGCGTGTGAGTGTGTGTGTGTGTGTGTGTACCATGTGTTTTGAACCTACGTGTAGCTGAATCATAGTAAAATTTAACAAAGTAACACCATCCTGACCACCAAGAGGCGCTCTGACAGTACTGAACTCTACCTATTTTATTTCACTGTAACAAGAAATCCTGGGGACAGACCATTCAGGGACCTCATGACTGCACCTGGGCTGCAGCAGGCAGTGGGGGCCACATTCCTCCCTGAAGGCCCTCAGCAGCAGAGCTGACGGGGCCGCCTCCCGGAGGGGGCTGGGGGGCCAAGGACAGCGGCTCTGGGCTGGCCATCCCCCCAGCAGCCAAGTGGCTGGCTCCCCCCGCCCCACCCCTGCCAGAGTCAGCCATCTCTGCCGCTGTGCCAGGCCTGGGGGCACCACAGGCCCCAAGGCTTTGACCGCACAGAACATCCACAGGTATGGAGTCCAGCACCCCCACCCCCACCCCAACGGCCAAGAGCACCCAACTGTGCTTTCAATCTGAGTAACACCTGTCACTGCTTTTCCAGCAATGCTTCCCGGGAAATGCTGCTAAAGTTCCAGTCACCACAAAAGGCGTCTTCCTTTATTTTTAAAGGGTGCCTTGCTGGTGACTGTCACCTGCTGGTTTAGGAACAGCAGGAGCTTCACGCTCACCGTTCTGTTTTATTTGCAGGCAAGCTCTCTGGAAATGTAAAAGCCCTTTTAAAGTAGCCGCATTCCCACCGAGAGGCTGGGCTGTCAGACTGGGTAATTTCTAATTTCCTCTTTGTGCTTTTCTGCATTTCTTAAATTTATCTGTATCAGTGATGTATTTACTTGAGTAATCAGGAAAAAGACTGAAAGAGATGAGGTCCTTTATTTCACTAGCTACAAAAGTCTTGATTCTGCGTCTCTTTGTGGTAACAGGACTGACCTCTTGGGGGCTGGGCTTGTCCCCACTAGGATCCCACATGCTTGATCTTTCAGAGCCAGGGCAGTGGTGCCCGCGGCAGGCCTCCACCTTACACTAAAGGAAAAGGGAAAAGGCGGGAGGCGCCAGCCTGGGGTGGGGAGCCAGACCCCTGGGGTCTGGGGAGCCAGGTTGGGGCGAGAACACCAGGAGGGAGGCGGGGCCGGGCCGTGGCGCGGAGACCTACCGATGATGTAGGACAGGATGAGGTTCCAGCCGGTGATGAAGGCCCAGAGCTCGCCCACAGTGACGTAGCTGTACAGGTAGGCCGAGCCTGTCTTGGGGACCCGCGCGCCAAACTCGCCGTAGCAGAGGCCGGCCAGCACGGAGGCCAGGGCGGCGATGAGGAAGGAGATGACGATGGCGGGGCCCGCGTCCTCCCGCGCCACGGCCCCAGCCAGTACGTACACGCCGGCCCCCAGCGTGCTGCCCACGCCCAGCGCCACCAGGTCGAACGTGTTCAGGCATCGCGACAGCCGGCTCTCCTCGCGGCTGCAGTCCACCACCTTCCTCCGAAGCATCTGCTGCCCGACGCCCATCAGTGCAGTGCACCCCATCCCGCGGCTTCTGGTCTGCTGAGGGGAGGACAGAGGCGGGAGCTTCGTTAGTGCTCTGGTCTCACCCAGGTACCCCTTCACCGCAGCAGGTGGGCCATGCGGTCCGCACTGTCACTGGCAGCTAAGGCCTCACCTCTCACGATCTCACCACCCGCGGCCAGAACACCCACCCACAGCTTCCCGGCCTCAGGCCTGACCAGCGGGAGAAACACCCAGGGGCCAACACACCCGCTGATGGGACTCCGGTCTCTTGAGCCCCCACACTAATTTCAGTTCCCAATCGAGAGCCTTCTATGGGCAGAAATAGCAGGAAGAGCACAATTAAGCCCATTGTTCCTGAGTCGTACAATTCACCAGGAAAAGTAAAGCTGCTATTCTAAGGGTATGGGCTTCCCAGGTGGCTCAGAGGTAAAGAATCCGCCCACCAATGCAGGAGATAAAGTCTGATCCCTGGGTCGGGAAGAAACCCTGGAGAAGGAAATGGCAACCCACTCCAGTACTCTTGCCTTGAGAATCCCAGGGAAAGAAGAGCCTGGCGGGCTACAAGTTCATGGGGTTACAAAGACTGAGCGACTAAACAACAACATTCCGAGTGTGCTGTTGTGGAAGGCAAACCAAACTAAATATGAATTTAACTATCAGAGCCCAGAGGCCTTCAGTGGCAGTGAAACACTTTCCAGACCTTCCCGGGGCCAAGCAGGAGCCAGGCTGTCTCCAGTTTAACAAAGAGTATGCCCAGAGCAGAAAAGCACCGAACTGTCATGAGTTAGGCCGCTTGTAACTGCTGCTACTTTGGGAAGCACTTTTCCTCTGCACCAAAATGCTGGCAGAATGCTATGTGATGCTGGCAGAGTGCTATGTGATACAGTCCAGATGGTGCACACGGGGTCCAGTCAATTGACCTTCACAGCCTTATCACTCCCTGGGGCCCACCTCCTGAACTGCATCCCTGGTCAGCATCCTCCGGGAGGTGCCGGCCAATCACAGGAGAATTCGTCCCGAGGGGGCGGGGCCTGCCTGGAGCTCCAAGGAGGGGGAACCAGAGCCCCTATCCTTCCAAAGAGGACAGTGTGGGAAGGGGGGAACCTGGTAGAACATCACCGCGGACAGGCGGCCAAGGTTGACATCAGTAAGTGGCAGGTTATAGTTGAGCGTATGATGTGATGAGAAAGGCCTTTACCTCGGAGAGCTTCCTCCCCAAAGCCGTAACCCCAGGCTAATCCTGAGAAACGTATCGGACAAATGACAGAAGAGGAACCTCCACGAAACACCTGCGTTTCGCTCCTTGTATGTGCGTGCGTGTTCTTTCTTTCAGTTGTGCCCGAACCTCGGGTGTCATCAAGAACAAGAGAAGTCCGCAAGCTGGTGCGAGCAGGAGGAGCCTCCGGAGACAGGACACTAGCCTAGAGGATGGGATGAGGCCCCGGGATGGGAGGAGGACAGCAGGGAGGACTCAGTAAGTCTGAACAAAGCACAGACTTCAGCTGTATCCACACTGGGCGGTTGGCCATAGCCGAAATATCCCACTAGTGTTAAGATGCTAATCTCAGAGGTAACAGTGTGGGCACACAGGAACTACCCTCACGGCTTTTCTGCGAACCTAAACATGTGCAGAGATAAGCTACCACCATGACTGAGCCACTAAAAGTTCACCTTGATGACCAGTTGGTATTGACTGATCTACCTAACTTTGCTGCAGTCGAGTGACCAGAAAGCGCAATCGTCTAAGTGGAGACAGCAGATCTGGCAGAGTCCGTACCTAATCACCTGGAACCCCGGACTGCTCGCCCACACCCTTGTGGGCTGGTCCCCTGCCCGGCCTGAGGCCAGGCCCCCTGCGAGTCACAGAGGGACGGGTGAGGGTTCCTCTCCGTATTTTATCTGATGGGCCAAGAGAAGAGAGAAAAACAGTTTCTCAAAACTCAAAAGTTTGCAGCTAGAATGGGGAATAAACTCCTCCAGTCGGAAACCCTTCTTATAAAGATGAGGAAAAATAACGCAGAGAGCCAAGAGTCAAACGGGGTCACGAGCTCGGAAGGTGCGGGGGGGGGGGGGGCAGCTCCATATCTGGGTATGGCGTTGGTGGCGGGGGGAGGCGGGTAGGAAATGATATCACCCTTGGTGAGGGGGGCGGAAGTGGGAGGAAGTGAGGGAAGATGACCTTATTAGTGGAACACCAGTGAAGCAGGAAAGTCAGGGGTCCGATAAGAGCCGAGAGGGCAGGGGCGGAACAGGAGACATGACAGAGAGCTCCGGTACCCAGGATGCTTGCGGCCACTTGCTGGCCCATTGCTGGCACTCAGTTGGGAGTCCTAAGCCCTGAGGGGTCCCAGTGAGGCAGCCGTGCTGGGGGAGCAGGTGCTGAGGACCCGCCAGGCACCAGCGCTGTCCGGGAAGCCGGGGTGCGAGTCCTCCTGGTCCTGCCTTCTCCTTTCTTCCTTCCAGGATTTCCCTGAATTCATTCAAGCCAGACTGTGAACCACAACAAAGCCTATAATAAACCACTGCTTGGATAACAAGTTAAAAGGGAAGATGCGCCATTTCAACACCACCCTCAGCAGAAGCGCTGTGCCAGGGACGGTGGGAAAGGTGGTGAATAACTTGGCAGCATCATCTCGGGGAAAACCCAGAAGGGAAGTGGAGCCTGAGAGCACCTGACGACCCGCCCTGCTTCTAACATGATTGGTAAATGGGACCAACATTTAGAGAGAAGAGTTACCCACTCCCACCCTCTCCTCAGTTCAGTTCAGTTCAGTCGCTCAGTTGTGTCCGACTCTTTGTGACCCCATGGACTGCAGCACGCCAGGCCACCCTATCCCTCACCAACTCCTGGAGCTTGCTCAAACTCATGTCCACTGAGTCGGTGATGCCATCTAACCATCTCATCCTCTGTCATCCCCTTCTCCTCCTGCCTTCAATCTTTCCCTGTATCAAGGTCTTTTCAAATGAGTCAGTTCTTCGAATCAGGTGGTCAAAGTATTGGAGTTTCAGCTTCAGCATCAGTCCTTCCAATGAAAATTCAGGACTGATTTCCTTTAGGACTGACTGGTTGGATCTCCTTGCAGTCCAAAGGACTCTCAAGAGTCTTCTCCAACACCACAGTTCAAAAGCATCAATACTTCAGTGCTCAGCTTTCTTTATAGTCCAACTCTCACATCCATACATGACTACTGGAAAAACTATAGCTTTGACTAGATGAAACTTTGTTGGCAAAGTAATGTCTCCACTTTTTAATATGCTGTCTAGGCTGGTCATAACCTATCTTCCAAGGAGTAAGTGTCTTTTAATTTCATGACCACAGTCACCATCTGCAGTGATTTTGGAGCCCCCCCCAAAAAAAGTCTCTCACTGTTTCTGTTTCCTCATCTTTTTGCCATGAAGTGATAGGACCGTATGCCATGATCTTCGTTTTCTGAATGCTGAATTTTAAGCCAACTTTTTCACTCTCCTCTTTCACTTTCATCAAGAGGCTCTTTAGTTCTTCTTTGCTTTCTGCCATAATGGTGGTGTCATCTGCATATCTGAGGTTATAGATATTTCTCCTGGCAATCTTGATTCCAGCTTGGGCTTCCTCCAGCCCAGCGTTTCTCATGATGTACTCTGCATACAAGTTAAATAAGCAGGGTAACAATATACAGCCTTGACGTACTCCTTTCCCTCTCTGGAACCAGTCTGTTGTTCCATGTCCAGTTCTAACTGTTGCTTCTTGACCTGCATACAGATTTCTCAAGAGACAGGTCAGGGGGTCTGGTATTCCCAGCTCTTTTAAGAATTTTCTCCTAGATGTAGTTTTTAGTTCATACCAAATGGATTCTCTCCTCAAAATGATAAAAGCCAAGTGCAAAGCAAAGACGGTACAATTGAACAGCATGGTCTTTCCTTGGCTTCCCAGAGTAAAGTGACCCAGGAGATTAGAGAGAGCACCACTTTTCTCTGAAAGACCAGACATTCTATCCTGGGCTCTGGAAAGGGCTGGTCCACAGCCCACATGCCTTTCTCACAGGGGCTGCTGTCTGGGGAAGAAGCCAGAGCTGCTAAAGAGTCTGTGGACACCTGGCGAGGGGCATGCCGGAGGACACCTTCCGAGAGCCCGCTGACCTCACTCTAGGCCGAAATAAGCCCCCTTGGACACTGCAGCTGCAGTTAACATGCCACATCTCCCTGGTTATCCTCTCTCCATGAACCCACTTAACCAACCCTGGGGACCCAGCACCATCTTTAAAATAAAGGAGCCGGGGCACTGAGTTCTGTAAATTCGGACCCAGACACTGGACTGCAAACACACATGAAAGGGACGTTTTGGTTTAGACTCCCTGGACATGGCTGACTTCTTGTAAGTGGGGAGACAGTAGCCACCATTTCTCAGGAAGAGTCCTGGGTCGGAGGTAAGTGCTCGGATGCAGCGAACAGGAACACAGGAGGGCTGGCTGTTTTCTCCTGGGCTGCCTCTCCAGCATGCCCTCTTTATCTGGGGAAAGGGCAAACCCAGTCCCCTGGAAACCACTGGGGCAGGAACGCAACCAGTTGCCGCCGAACCCCAGGGCTAAGAGTAGACAGCACAAGTGGCGTGACCAATTCTATTTCCCAAGGCGGGAGAGATCGAGATGCTCACGAACCTCACCCGGGGTTTGTTTTAAAGTAACGTCCTTTCTTTCTCCTGGGCAGTAACAGAAAAATCGTGTTCTCCGGGCAGCACCATCTGTCGGCATTGTGCACACGTTATTCCACAACTCACGTTCATGCCCGGACTCCTGAGCTGCTCATTCAGCCAACAGCTGAAAATAAATGAAACTTCTCCATGTAAAACCAATCTAAGCCCGCCAGCCTCGCCAGTGTCAGGTTCGGACAGACTTCCTGCAGTCAGGATTTACGCAGTAAGTCCCCAGTACGCATTGAAAGCGTTATCTGGAAATTATGTTATCTGTCTCCCAGGGAGAAATTTCTGCAACAGTCGAGAGCTACACTTTCATTCCAGTTTTTGACAGGAATCCTGCAACAGCAAGAGCTTTGGCTCTCTCTCACTCCCGACTCACGCAATATGAAAGAATGTCCTCTTAGAAAAGCAAAGGAAATATGTCCCTTTCCCACAGAATTTCTAACTCCAAGTTTGATTCCAGTGATCACTATATAACAGTCAGAGCAAGATGGCCCAATGGGTCCAGACTGCTGAGATAAAGACTTTAGGATGCAGTGTTGAAGGTGTCTGACAAAGGCAGGCAGGTGTGAACTGTATGATTTTTTTTTCACACAAATTTAACGACAGTCCCATCACCAAAAAAGAAGAGCTTAATGGCTTCATGGAGGGAGGGGAAGAGGTCACAGACGGAGGCTGTGATAGACATTAAGTTCATAAATTCTTTGGAGAAAGTCTTAACATTGGCATTTTATTCTTCATACATCTGCTTTTTTTTTTTAAGTGGTCATCACATTTGGGAGTGGTCCCAATGACTCCCAAAGGGGAGTCATGTAGAGTAAACCCTGTCATTCCAGAAGGAGACAGATGCGCTGAGGTCCACAAAGGACGATGACCAGGGACGGGTGGTCCCCAGGTCCCCTCCAGCCGCATGGGGCAGGGCTGCCCAGGAGTCCTGAAGGCTCTGGAATGCCTGCAGCTTTAATGAGGAAGGGAGCAGAGGTGAAGCCATCTCAACAGACATGGTCCAAAATGAGAGCGTTCCAGGTCACGGGCCACGGTGGAGGAGGAGAGACGCATGCAAGGAATGCAATCTGCGTTGAAGGAAGTTGTTCTCCAAGCCAGATCCACTTTCCCCAGGTGTCAGGAGGCCCAGGTGCAAGAACTTTTAAGTTAAAAAAACAAACAACGAGGATGGAGGGGACTGGTTGACGCAGATGAAGACCCAACACGTGGGTGTGTGGAAGGCAGTTAAGGAAACAACAGGACTGAACCTAGCGCACAGCGGGGCAGGAGGGAGGCAAGGGGAGGAGGGGACCACAGGGCGGTGAAGGTTTGCGGTGGCTGGGGGGCCAGCCACACCCCCACGTCCTTGCTGGGCAGCGAGAGCCTGTCCACCTCCCATGAGATGTGACCTCAGGACTAAGGCTCTCTTGAAGTCTCCCAGGACCTACACTCATCTGACTGCAGGCAGCGATGGACAAGCTGAGGGCAGAATGGAACTACTCCTGAATTCAGGGATCTCACTCCTGGTATGATGCCCTGGGCTGACACAGCCAGGCTTACGGAAAAGCAGAAACGCAGTCCCAGCCGAAGAGGCAGAGTCGGGGCCAGTAACTTGGTGGAGGGCATGCAGCCAACAAAAGATGGGAGTTGGGGCTCAAACCCATGCCTCACCGTCTGCAGAGCCTCCGCTGTCCTCTAAGTCAGGATCCCTGGGGCCCGGGGGGTGCGGAGGGGGCTGGGAGAGGCTGGGCAGCTAACTGGCAGTGGGCGGGAGGGTGGTGGTGATGCAAGCCCACATCTCGGGGCTAAGCGTCCACACGTCCCACTGGCAGGGCCGCATCTAATCACCTCTGCCCCCAGCACCTACGAGGCCCACGAGCAGAACTTACGGGACCAGAACACGTACAGGGCCCATAGCTCACACTCAGTACAATCACTGACTTAATTTCAGGAAACTTTACAGGACACTGGCTGGACGTCTGTCATTCATCTGAGGCAACATCTTCACCATTGCATTCAACGACTTATGAGGGTCTGTCCATCAAAGGAGATCTCATTTGCTGAATATTCAAAGGTTCAAGTCACCAAAAAGTCCGGTTCTGTTTCTCTAAATGAATACGCATGTAAGAAGATGCTATTTGGGTTAAAATTCAGCCCAAGCAACAAGGAGTTGCCTATGAGGCCTTGAAAGTTTTCCAACAGTTCCTTCTGTCGTGGGAGGTGCTCCACTGTGGGGACAGCTGGTGTCCCTGTCATCTCTGCCCAGGGTTCCTTGGGTCAAACTAGTGCATGTCTCTGGGGCCTCAGTTTCCACATCTGAAAAACAGGGTGGCTCTCTGGTCCTGCCTTGACAGACAATGCACAAGGAGTATGCTAAGACAGCTTCCCTGGTGGCTCAGTAAAGAATCTGCCTGCAATGCAGGAGATACAGGTTCCATTCCTGGGTCAGGAAGATCCCCTGGAGGAGGGCATGCAACCCACTGCAGTATCCTGGCCCGGAGAATCCCATGGACAGAGGAGCCTGGCAGGATACAGTCCATGGGGTCACAAAGAGTCAGACACAACTAAGCATACACAGGCAGGCATGCTAAGAAGCAAGTTCTTCCCAGGCAGAGTCAGCACTTGTTCTTTCTTCTAAGTCTCAGCACCTGCCCATCGCCTCTCCCTCACAGAAGCAAGGCAGACAGTCTCTGGCAGCTTGGGGTCCCCATCACATGGCGGTCATAAACTGACGCCTGGCCTTACACTGTCAACGTTGCCGGCTTACCCACACCCAAGCTTGTCCACAGCGTTTGCCCAGATCCAAGAGAGACAGCAGACAAGAAGCCAGTGGAGGACGCAGCAAGTGCATCCTCATGAAAATCAGATAAAATCTAGGAACGCTTCCTCCTGCAGCCAGCAGGATGTGACTAAGAGTCTTTTCATCTCCGGACAGTGTTTCCATCACCAGGGAAGCCATGCTTTATCAAGATACACGCCCCAGTTCTGTGTGGAAATGCATTACGACAGAAACCTGTGTTTCGTGAGGGGCTCAGAGCTCCTCCAACACGTGCCTTAGTGCTTTTCTCACTTATCTGGGGTGGAAAGAAGCGAACGTGCTCCACCTGGTTCACTGAAGCTGGTGACGGACAAACTCTGTGGGCAGGCCCGGGGGCAGGGGCCGGGCCCCCCTTAGGGCAGGATCCATGAGCCAGAGCCCAGCAGGGGCCTGGTCCTGAGTGGGGTGTGGGGTGCAGGGGGACTGGTGAGGGGGCTTTGTAAAGTTGCATGTGTGTGAACTGCAGACACTTCGTCTGGCTTTCCAACCTCAAATGGAAATGTCTTAAATAAAGTTCCCCCAGGATCAGAATTCAGACTCACTAGCAGAACACTGCTTCTTTAGTTCTCCAGGCTCTAAGGCGTCCTGAAAAGCATATTAGAGATTTCAGAGGCTCCTTCTCCAAACGTCCTCTTTCACGAAGCACCAGGACGGCCAGTCCCCGGAACCAAGCAAGGCGGAGACTCCTGCCCAGCAGATCTGACCTCACTGCTCGGTCACAGACCATTATTTTCCCATTTACTCAGTTACTCACTTAGCAAACTCTCACAGACTCACCTACTTACCCGTAAGCCTGGGGCCACTGTAATCCTCAAATACCCATCACTTCCTCCCTTCCCCCAGTTTTCCCACTGCCACAAGCTACTCTGAAAACTCAGAAGTTCTAGAAAATGCACTGGCTCAAAAGTTAAGTAGCTGTGAGAAGTCAGGGACAGCTTCCCCAAACCGACCTGGAGAAGAGACTCTCTCGGGAGCCGGGGTCCACCTGAAACCAACACGACACACCAGCTCCTCGCCACTCACACACACCTGGGTTCACTTTGTCCTCCCCAGAGACGAGCAGAGTCACAGGCCTCCCTCCTCTCCCAGGAGGACGAGTGGACCCCCAGCCACAGTTACCTCACTTTAAGTAGGGAGCCAGGATTTGAACCCATGTCCTCTGATTCCAGGAGCCCTATTCCACGGCAGGTGCCAGAGCGACACGACTTTGACCAAATGTACTCTTCTTCCCGCCTGACAACACTCAACTCTGTCATCCTATCTGAAATCCTACAAATAAGGGAGTCACATGGGTTAAGAGAATCTCTTTCTGAATGTCACTACTCCTGTCAAGTCCAGTCAATGAGTTACTCACACGGTGGACTGGATCTGCATCACCCGCCCACTTCCCGCAGCCGCTGGCCAGGAGCCATGGGCTTTGAAGCAACAGGCGCTTTCTCTGGGTCCGAGGACAAGGAGGTAACTGGGGCAGCAGGGCCTAGCAGGGGCCTTGGGGGAGAGTTCTGGAAAGCAGACAGAGGGCAGGGGCTTGGAGAATCATACGGAGGAAGAGCTCCCAAAGAGACAGATTAAATATTGCGCTGGGAGGGCGCATGTCTCTGAAAAAGTGGGAGGACAGTGTCAAATAAGCCTGGCAGCAGCCCTTGAAAACAAAAGGAACATACACGAGTGTGCGTGTATATTCAGACTGGCTGAAAACAAAAGGGACACACACGAGTGTGCGTGTATACTCAGACTGGCTGAAAACAACAGCAACACACACGAGTGTGCGTGTATACTCAGACTGGCTGAAAATAACAGCAACACACACGAGTGTGCGTGTATACTCAGACTGGCTGAAAACAAAAGGAACACACACGAGTGTGCATGTATACTCAGACTGGCTGAAAATAACAGCAACACACACGAGTGTGCATGTATACTCAGACTGGCTGAAAATAACAGCAACACACACGAGTGTGCGTGTATACTCAGACTGGCTGAAAACAACAGGAACACACACGAGTGTGCATGTATACTCAGACTGGCTGAAAACAAAAGGAACACACACGAGTGTGCGTGTATACTCAGACTGGCTGAAAATAACAGCAACACACACGAGTGTGCATGTATACTCAGACTGGCTGAAAACAACAAGAACACACACGAGTGTGCATGTATACTCAGACTGGTTGAAAACAACAGGAACACACACGAGTGTGTGTGTATACTCAGACTGGCTGAAAACAAAAGGAACACACACGAGTGTGTGTGTATACTCAGACTGGCTGAAAACAAAAGGAACACACACGAGTGTGCATGTATACTCAGACTGGCTGAAAACAAAAGGAACACACACGAGTGTGCGTGTATACTCAGACTGGCTGAAAATAACAGCAACACACACGAGTGTGCATGTATACTCAGACTGGCTGAAAACAACAAGAACACACACGAGTGTGCGTGTATACTCAGACTGGTTGAAAATAATAGCAACACACACGAGTGTGCATGTATACTCAGACTGGTTGAAAACAACAGGAACACACAGGAGTGTGCATATATACTCAGACTGGTTGAAAATAACAGCAACACACACGAGTGTGCATGTATACTCAGACTGGCTGAAAACAACAAGAACACACACGAGTGTGCGTGTATACTCAGACTGGTTGAAAATAACAGCAACACACACTAGTGTGCATGTATACTCAGACTGGTTGAAAACAACAGGAACACACAGGAGTGTGCATGTATACTCAGACTGGTTGAAAATAACAGCAACACACACGAGTGTGCGTGTATACTCAGACTGGCTGAAAACAACAGCAACACACACGAGTGTGCGTGTATACTCAGACTGGTTGAAAATAACAGCAACACACACGAGTGTGCATGTATACTCAGACTGGCTGAAAACAACAAGAACACACACGAGTGTGCGTGTATACTCAGACAGGTAGAAAATAACAGAAACACACAGGAGTGTGAGTGTATACTCAGACTGGTTGAAAATAACAGGAACACACAGGAGTGTGAGTGGATACTCAGACTGGCAGAAAATAACAGGAATACACAGGAGCGTGAGCGTATATTCAGACTGGCAGAAAATAACAGGAACACGTGTTTGTGAATATTCAGACTGGTAGAAAACTAACAGTAACACACACAAGTGTGAGTGTATACTTAGACTGGTCTGGAAGGAGAATGGAGGCAGTGTCTCTGGACAGATTACTGGCATTTTCACCAGCATTTTAACATTCTTTCAGTGACTGCTTACTGCTTCTGAACTGAGGGGAAGGAAATCTCTTCTAAAGAGTCCGCCTGGGAGGTACCTGGGTATGTAGAGTTTCATTACGTCTTCTCTCTGCATACGTGCACATTGAGAAATTCCCAAAAGCAAGAGAGAGGATTTCCTGTTAGGCTGACCCAGAAAACAACAAGGAAACTCCTCTGGAGACCTGCACCCCCAGGGCAGCCCCTTGATGCTAAGACACGGCTATGTACAAAGTCTCTTATGCATGATTAGGTTGAGCCATATGAAACTGTCAAAATTCAGCCAATTTTTTTTTTAAACTAGAAAAACAGCCAAGAGTAAAGGATTTTTAATAAGCAGTCGTGGACTATGTCCCTAGACATTTCTCTGGGCCTAAACTGTACCATTTGGGGACTTTGCCTGAAATTACAGAAGCCAACGTGTGTTCCAAAGAAGAGGTTTAAGGAAAACGAAGAACAAAGTGGTTTGTAGGTTATTCAAAAGATGGGAGAGAGAAACCAGCAGACATGTGTTTCTGTGCTATCCGTGGTGTGGGACGTATGTGAAATTTCAGTTTCACCCTCCCCACTTTTTGGCAGGTCACACACTCACCTGCCCGAGAGACAAAGTTTAGACCCACCAGGCTGAACAGGTGAGGCTGGGCTGGGCCGCGGGGAGCAGGACAGGCCAGGAGAGCTGCAGGTGGGCGTCTGAGGGATGCGCACTCGAGATATAAACCTTTTATGTAAAGAAAGGGTTGAGGGCATCAACCACATACCACTGCGAGGATTAATCAGGTCTTACTGGACAGGACAGACACGAGGGGAGACGGTCCCAAGCTGCCACCTGCCTTCTTTATTTGGGAGTGAATCGATGCACTCGCCCTCGAGCAGGGCATTTTGATCCAGCTGACAAAGTGCCTGTGTGCAAGCAGATATTCCGTCCTTTCCCGTGTTCCTGCATTTGCTCCATCCCTGTCCTCTCCTCTTGGAGCCCCTGGTTACCGTGGGGATTACCTGTGCAGGGCTGGCTGTGCAGGGGTACCCCAGCAGGAAAGGCACGTTTCACGACAGGTCGTGCTGGTATGTGTGCAACTTGCTTCTCTGACGGCCAAGACTTCAGACACTCGCCCCCAAGAGAAAAGCATTCAAAGTCTGAAGGAAACACCATGGACCCCTTCCTGGCTCCACACCCCACCTGTCTGTAGGCCGACCCCCAAGCACCTGTTTGTGCACTTTCCCAGCACGGGGATTCCTGTTACGTCACACACGTGGGGTACACATCCAGTGGGCAGTAACAGAATTGTCTCCCTCACAGAGAACATGCCACCGTAGACCTGAAGTTACTCCGCAGCTTCGGGAGCAAGCGGCCAGGTGCATGAGGGCCTGTGGACACAGTAACGCAGGACCAACGATCAAGGGCCAGGAGAAAACGCACCGGAGCATCATGGTGAAGCCTGAGATGGACTAAGTGGCCAAGAGTGTGGACACGAGGCCAGAGCTGGCCTGCAGCACTGGGTGTGAAGGATGGACGGTGGTTACACTGGCTCTGCCATGATGGAAGCTCCAGGGCCATGACCTTGAAGACAGGCTGTCCCTACAGAATGCCACTGGAACCTGACCCCAGGGGTCGCCATAAGCCAGGGCTCATTGTCTTAGCCTGTGGTTAACTGGGAAGCTCGCACACACGGGGCTCACTCGGAGCATCCCCCTGCCCGCAGGGAGGAGCTGGGGAGCCCCGCCCCCTCCCTCAGGGGGCCTCCACATGGCAAAGGTCATAGCTACACACCCTCAAGTCCCCTGAAGAAGGACTCAGCGAGGGCCGTTGATCCTGACTATGTGTGTCTTCTCAATGCGGCTCCACACTCAAAATTAAGAATATGAAGGGCCCAGAGGACTGCAGGAGTAGGTGTGTGCATGGGCAACTGCAGTTCTTTTGCACGCACACACACACACACACACACACACACACACCCCTCTGAAAAACTGTGATGAATGAAACAGAGACAAAAGTGAAGCCTCCATACTCGGTGACCTGTTACTTATCAAAAAATAACCTGAGCAATAACTGTCCAGCACTTATACAGTAGGATCCTTTTCCCCCAACCTACATCCTCTGCCAGATGCAAATATAAGCAACAGGTGAAAAATAGACCCACTCTCACTTTATTTATTTGGTTTTAATTTTTTGGCTGCACCACGTGGCATGTAGGATCTTAGTTCCCCAACCAGGGATTGAACCCGGGCCTCCCGCAGTGGAAGCTCGGAATCATAACCACTAGGCCACCAGGGAAGTCCCTGGACCCACTCTTATTTAAAGGGACATGGGGGGCACGGAGATCCCTGGCCGGTCTTGGCCCTCCCTCCTCTCCACGCCTGTTCCTGTCTCCCCTTGCCCCCATCCCTGGACTCTGGGGCTCCAAGCTCCGGCCTGAAATACACTGACCGACAGGTGGTTATGGCACCCAGGAACAAGCTGTGGGAGAACTCTTGAGGAGAGTGAAAGGCCGAAGACCGCGAGGCAGGGGAGCCAGATGCGAAGACTAGGAGCAGGATGCAGGCTGGAACAGGCCCTTGACCCTGAGACTGCAACGGCTCCAAGAGTCACAGGCAGACGAGAACCAGATGCATTGAGGCCATGGCGTTGCAGCCGCCCACAGGGCCCAGTCCCTCTGAGGACTGCAGGCCACGCAGACAAAGCCCCAAGTGCTGGGAATACCCACTCCCCACCACATGCCCGGGGTCAAGGCCCTGCTGTCCCAGGACATCAAGCAGTCTGGACGGAGCAGAAATGCACAAAGAAACTCAAAAGCCCACGAGAGTGAAAGGCAAGCCTTTCCGGGTGAGACGGAAGAGCTGACTGAGACAGGCCAGTGAGATGTTAAAAAAGAGGCTCAGGGCTCAGCCGTCAGCTAACTCAAAAGGCCGAGAGCTAACGGGAGGCCTGAATGGGCGACGCCCCAGCATCAAGAACAGACCCTTCTGCTGTACTGCACCTGGGCTACGATGTGAGGGCTGTCACCTCGTCACCCGGGGGCCCCTGGTCCTGGAGCGACGGCGTCTCAGGGGGCCCGAGAGGCGGCAGCTGGTCCCTAGGAGGCAAGGGGAGGGACCACGTTAGACTCCATCTGGGGGCCCAGAACCTCCAAGCCTGTGGCCAGCGCAGGGAGGAAGCTTCTGTTCAGCTCAGCATTAGAGGGCAGGCTAATGGTGGGGAGATGAGGTCCCAATGCAGATGAAGAAGCATTGGGGGGGCAGGGTGTGGAGGGGATGTGGGGAGGCACTGCTGAGGAGAGACCCAGAAACCGGACAAGACAGCCTCCAAACCAGGGGTCCCACCCTGCCGCCGCTGCAAACACGGGGTCACGTCTCAAGTAAGAACGACAGCAGCCAGGCCACGTCCACACAGCAAGGGCACAGAGCCGGCCTGTGCACGCTCAGAGGCCCTGAGGGGCCAGCTGGGCAGGGAGTCCTCGCGGATGCTGGCACCAAGACCCCCAGGTCAGCAGGGCCACACAGCCTCAGCTGCCTCCTCCAGGGAACTCGGGGCTCCAGTCTGTGACCGTCCACTCTCCTGTCCTCGCTGGGACCACACACAGTGGCATCGCTCCAGTACCCTATTTGGCTGGCAGTAAGCACCCGCCAGCCCCAGGGACTTCAGGGCAGGCCCCAGACTGCTCCGATGTGGGCAGGAAGAACCTCCTGGATGAGACACATAAAGTCCTCTGTCTTCCCAGCCGCAGGGTTTCTACTCTGCACACACTCACGCCCTCACTCACTCAGGAGCGGGAGGGGTTTGGTTATCACGCAACGAACACGATTCTATAGCCAACGTGACCCTAGTGAGGATCAGCACTGAGCCAAACACGCACGTGAAGATGTTCACCAACAGCTCCAGTTTCTGACTGCACTGCCGCAAAGATTCCAGCAGCTGGAATCAACTATTCCATCCCAACCAACACCTTTTGTCTGTTCATCCTACACTAAGATGCCGTTCTTTGCCACTTCCTCTTTTGCAGATGTTCAGACCTACAGAAAAGCTAGCATATTTACAATACTTTTCATCTACATTTACCAACACTGAACATTTTGCCACATTTGCTCTATCGTTATGTACATGTACACTTTTCTCCCGAACCACTTGAGCATGAGCTGCAGTACCTACCATGACACTTGACTTCTAAGTATTCTGATAGCCCACAAGGATGACACCTACGTAACTCTTAACATCGTTGTTATAGATAAGAAACCGAACATTCACTCAATAGCCTCTAATGCAGCCCATGATCAAATGTCCAAAACTGACAGTATATTGCCAGCTGTCTATCATGTGCCAAGTACAAGGGCAGTGGGAGAAGCGAAGGTGCATGAGGCTCAGGTCACAGTCCAGGGCCGATGGACACACGGATCCTTCCTGGGGACTGACGTCCCCACGAGTCTCTATCTCGGCCCAAGAGAAAGCGGCAGCTCCACCTGGAGACCCCAGGAAAGGCTTCCGCCACAAGGGGATGCTGTTCAGAGGATGAGAGAGGAGGGACGGAACATAAAGATGGAGAGGCTAGACTACAACAGCCCGAACCATGCCGCCCAACCCCGATGTCCAGGTCCTATTTCCGGGAATGTGTGACTATAGCAGGCTACATGACAAGGAGGCTGCAGACGAACAGAGGAACCAGCCGACCTCCGGTGAGATGTTCTCGGGTGGGTCTGATGTAATCCTCAGGGTCCCTGAAGGAGCCGGGAATCCCGGTCAGAGGGGTGGGATGGGAGAGGCTCTAGGGGCGCTGCCAGCCTCGAACTGTCCGGGGCCCAGAGCCAAGGCAGGCAGGCAGCCTCGAGAAGCCGACAAAGGCAAGGCACTGGGTTCTCCCTAGAGCTCTAAGAAGGTACACACCCTCCAACACCTGGCCTGGAGCCCAGTGACACCCATTTTGGACTTCTGACCCGCAGAACAGAAAAACAGTAAATCTGTGCTGTTTTAACCTTTTTTTTTTTTTTTTTAACTTATAGGCTTGAAACAAGGCTGGAATCCACCCAAGTGCTGGGGGCTGGAAACAAGTTACAAAGTCTGGCCACCAAGAGCCATCATAAGATGGCTTTTTAGGTATAAAATACCATAAGATGGTATTTTAGGAGGAAAACCCTGGAATGAAAGGAACAGAATTGAGAAGGAAAACAAATGACGATGTTTGGGGCCAATGACAAGATCTGAGCTATTAAAAAAAAACCTAGAACTGTGGAAAAGTTGTATCTGTCACCAAGGTCTCAGTTGACGGTTTCCCGAGACTGAAGAGCTTTCTGAGGACACTGGTGGTGATGTTAACAAATGTGTTTTTAGATAAACATATACATATGATGGGCTTCCCTGGTGGCCCAGACAGTGAAGAATCCACTTGCAATGCAGGAGACCCAGGTTCGATCCCTGGAGATCCAGGGTTGGAAAGATCCCCTGCAGAAGGAAATGGCAACCACTCCAGTGTTCTGGCCTGGAGGATCCCAAGGACAGAGGAGCCTGGCTACAGTCCATGGGGTTGAAAAGAGTCAGACACATACTGATCCATACCACCCATGTAAGTACAAGCTCTCCACAATCTTTAGGACCGCAGGGGGTTCTGAGATCAAACAGTTTGAGAACCACTGCTTCAGGGCTGCACTAAGGCGTGGACACAGCCAGGCTGACACAGGCCCCCCAGGAAAGCCACTCTCCAGCTTCCTCAGGCAGGGTGAAGCAGCCTGACCGAGGGCCTCACTGCTCATGTCTCCCTGTCATAGCAGCAAAGCAGTTTAGGGATGCTCAACTTAAGCGCTAGAGAAAGGCTGCGGTACATTAAACCAGGCTGAGCCCACCAGGATTACTGAGACTGGCATGAACAGCAAGTAAACTCATTAGTACTGCTTTTCTTTACTCCAAGAATGTACCAACGGATTTATTCTACTTCGGATTTGAAGTTTCATTTGTTAAAAGCAGGGTAGTGAGAATGCTACAACCACCTCAAACCTAAAGAATTGAATTTCACTTATTTGCTCATAAATACAGCAGGCCGCATTCCAACACCATCCTGGACGGGCTCCCAAGGGCACAGGTGTGATCACGACACCAATGTCTGTGCAACAGGGGACACCCACACACTGATGAGAAATGTGTGTTTACCCAAAATCACCTGGAAACACCAGCGAACACATTTCCACTGAATAATTTATAAATCAAGAGGAATCAGGCCTTCCCATTAGGCACACTGATAGGAACTACTAAACAGGTTTTTTTGCTTTGTCTTATTAAAAATAACGCCCAAGTTTTTTTCTTGGTGTTGTTCAGTCGCTAAGTCATGCATGACTCTTTGCAACCCTGTGGACTGCAGCATGCCAGGCTCTCCTGTCCAGCCGAAGTAGCTGCTTTGCCCGTGAATGAGTCTGTGTTCTGTTCTTCAAGCCACAAGTGTCTTGAGTGTCAGACACAGTCCTGGAAATCAGGACGCAGCAGTGAACTCATGAGATCAAAATTCCTGACTCTTTGGGGTTTATGTACATCATATGATTGGGAACATCTTTGAAACATATGGATGGATGAAATATCAACAGGAAGAACATGTTTCTGATTCACTAAAGCAATTTCATGAAATTATTAGAAATAAGATGGGTCCCAAGCCAGTGCTCCATCCCACCCGGTCAGATCCGAGGGCCATGGTAAGGACTGAAGCTACAGGAACACAGTTCAGGGCCGTAGGGGGGCGGTTCCGACAAGTCTTCCGACTCCAGCCAAGTACCACGGCCAGGAGCCCAAGGAACAGACAAGGACCTCCCGAGGCGATGCATAAGGGACAGGATCCTGGAAGGAGAGCATCTTTTGTTTGAAACAGCAAATGTTAATTAAATTTTTCCTTTGGCGTGAAAAGTTTTGAAATTCCAGCATGAGATTCCTATTTGTTAAAGGGAGCGTTGGCAAAGAGGCTGGCGAGCACTGAGAAGGAGTTAATATCCTTCCTGGTCCAGGAGAGAGGGGATGATGGACTCAAAGCCCGAGTGCCGGACAGAGGCCTCAGGGTCTCCAGAACCAGGGCGGGGGGCCCGCCAGGCATCACCCAGGATCCAAAACTGTCCTCTGAGACCCTCGCACTTTGTCCTTCCTTCCGTTAGGACCCTGTGGGAAGGGCACCGTGGGGGATGCATCCAGAACTGACATCACGGCAGCTGCGCTTGCCAGAGCCACATGCTGGTGACTCCACAGGGCCTTCCCGACTGCAGGAACCTGGGAGCCATCCCCTCTGTCCTGAGCCTTCAAGCCTGGAGGCTCTGCATTTGGGATTTACCCAGAAATGAGCAGACTGTAGTAATTGGGATAATACACTCACAAGGACAGACCTGGCTGGGACCAGAAACCCAAATACTCTCTACACATCATGGCCACTGCCCTCCCCTGACCCACACCGCCTGCCACCTGTATCTCCACCACGGCAGGACCACACACTCACTCACAGGTTTTCAGTGAGAAAGGATGGGCTTCCACCTGAGGACGCAGGATGGGGGCTCATGAGGACAGGGGTGCTGACTGCTATTACTAGTGGTTTCCCGGAGAAACTCATGGAGCAGACTCCAGTGTCCAGTCTCCCCCAAGTTCCAGTGTCCACCCTGACGCCACCTTTATTTGGGGCCGACACCACTTCCACACCACTTCCTGCCCACCCCCTAAGGCAGCAACAACACTTAAGCATAAAAGCCGTTTGAAGGACCTCACAACATAACACAGATGCGTGTCGTTCTACAATGCCTATTGGGGAAAAAATTACAAACTCTAAAAGAAATGTGGTCAAGGAAGCAGCAAGATGTCCATTCGTCTCCCAACCCTGCAATAATTAAAATCACTGCAGCCTTTTCTGGAGCAAGGAAAGCCCACAGTCTGACGATTCATCCTCCCTCTGAGATGAGAGATACTCCACAACAAGGTGACCAAGTCTTCCTTGACTGCATGCTGTCGAGGTGGGGGAACCTGTCTCACAGTGTGGAGCTGTGAGCAAGTGCTCCGTAGATGCGTTTATTTTTAATGAACTGGTTTTCAAAAATCTTTTAAAGTAATGTTTTACTATTAAAAAAATCT